TACAATAATTTATATAATTGCTATTCATTGTATTATTATTATTATTTATTCCAATGTTATAAATTTCCATATTATCACTTAGTATAATGTGTATAACCAGAGTGATATGATATATGTTATCGTAAACYCCTACCAAACAAATGAAAAAAAAATATAGAATAATAAAAYCAACTATATTACATTTTATAACTAAATACTAAAACCACTATCAATTTTGAAGATTATGGGAAATTTCCTTCTCCTAAAACGTGATGAAAAACACAACAAATAATAATCATAAAACCCTTCGTTTACCAGTTATACCGATAAAAAGCTCCAAATATTTTGAAAATTGTATGGTGTGTATAAAATTCTGATACGATAACATAAACTTTCATTGAATATCATGTATCTATGGTAATTTTTTTAGGGTTACACCAAAAACCAAAATCGATTTGGTCAAAAACCGATTTTGCATAAAATTATAAGATTTTCCTTAATTTTAAAATTTTAAAACTATTTGGAATTTTAATTGTAGATCTCCTAAATTTACAAACTAAATTCATTTTTTAAAAATATTATGAACTTGAAAACCATTATTTCAACTAATATTATGTAGGCTAACACAAATACAAAAMACGCACACATCATTATATCATTGTAAAATCAATACATTCATCATTCAACTTAGAATTTAAAGTAGTAGGAAAAATATTTTAGAAACAATAATAACTAATAAGTGMTATGTAATTGTAATGTCTTGTTAAATATTTTTTAAATAATATTTGTATTATTTTAAATACAGGGTGAAGTTGGTTTACCAGGAAAACCAGGAAAGGACGGAGAACCAGGCAAAATTGGTGAAATTGGTAAACATGACTTTTGTATCAAAATCAAAATTTTTCTTTTGAAAAMAATCGATTAGCTATTCACAATTTATATACCTTGAATTTAATTAATACTGTAATTTCCTGGTTATGTTTCATGTTATTATAAATTAACATCATGTACATTTTTATATTTTAATTTTGTAACATTCACAAATGATAAAAAAATATTGGTTACTTATAACTAAATATGCACGCATATTTAAATAATATAAAATGCATGTYTATTATATAATTCATTRTATAATGTCAACAGGCCCTACTGGAGAAAAAGGAGAACGAGGAAAACGGGGACCAAAAGGTATAATACAATATAAGATATTATTATTAGTTTATATTTTTATAACATATCTACCTATTATTCATATTGCCACAATGCCACATACAATATCTAATATTGTATTTTTTTGTATATTTTATCAAATATCAATTACATTTAATTACATATTCATTTTGCAGATAAAAAGCAAAATTATATATAATAATTGATATAATGTAAAACACATCAAACACTTAAAGGAGCCAATATTTTATTCAAAGGTTTTACTGTTTTAGAAATCAATAAAATCTCTCTAAACAACATAAAGTAGAAATTTCACTATAAACTTAGTATTTGTAATAGAAAATTACAACATAAATTTAAATATCAATGGCTTCTACATTTTCTGACTTTAAAAGCTTAAGATTTAAATGGTTACCACTAATTAATTAATATAACATATGTTACACTTAATAATTGATTTTATAAATTATATTTTTCTATAGAAAAAACAAATTATTTTTATTATTTAACAGAGTATTATTGAAATGTAGAGGTGTAACTACTATAACATTTATCACTAAAAATATAAGCCTCGTAATTAGGTACTTTTTAACAATTTACATGATAACCAATGAAAAAAGTAATTGATAATAATTTCTCTATACAATAGTTATACAATAAATACGACGTCAAAAAATTAATTTATCTTGATTTTAGTATGATGTGAAAAAAATATGTATGGTTTTTTGACGCCACACATTTGATTTCTATGCATAGTTTGTATGTTTGTATAAAAATGTTTAGTGAATAATTTATTACATATATTATTTATCCGACGTATATTTGATAACATCTGATCGTAATTTTGTATACATATATATTGTGAGTAGTGAGTCCTAGACATACTGACCTACTCTAWGYTGTTTGTATAATGTATAAAAACATAAATATTTTATGTACCAATTAATGATATATATATTATTTAAATAGGAATAATATTATTTATCAGCCATTTTAAAATGGCCTAAAATTATTGTGACACTATTAATTAGTATCAATATTCAAAACAATTCCGTGTGTTATTTAGTTTAATGGGAAATATAATAGTATAATCCGGAGGTCAGCCATCTTTTTGATGTCAAAGGTCAAATAATAAATATAAAATTTTTGACACACCAAAATTTTATTATACCTTATTTTATATTAAACAAAACTATATAGTTATACGAAATGTGTAACTGTTAGATTAAATAATTTAACAAAGTATCTACAATGAATAGAAATAAACAACGTTTTAACCAGTAGTTTCAGTCAATATTATTTTAACTCGTGATTTTTATACAAATTATAAATTGTATTCGCAGACTTCATAAAATTACAATATAGGTAACAGATTATCTTAAAATATTTCTTGACTTCAATTAAATCTATCTATGTAAACTGATTTAGCATTGAATTAATAAAAAATATTAAAATTGCCTATTGGGCACTATAAACATAACATAGTAATCATGAAAATTATCATGTTAGCAAAATACATTTTTATTTTTATTAAACCACGTTGAAATGTTAATTTGTCAAATTACCATTTAATAAAATATACCTAATCATAATGTTTTCCGCATGAATGAAATTTTGTCATTTAAACTAGTACTTCCTCATAATRTATGTACTAAAACTACCATTATGTTTAAATGGTTTTTGTTGTGTTACTTATACTTATATAATATTATGTATACAGTATACACAACCTTCAAAAGATGGAACTCCACTACCTTGGGGCAACAATTGCTGGTTTTGCTATAGTAACATAAAAACAAAATGTCGTATTTACGTAACTATTATTTTAGGTCATCCTGGAGAAATAGGTCCAATGGGTATCAAAGGTCATGAAGGCGAGAAAGGTGACAAGTGTGAACGAGGAGATCGAGGACCCGAAGGTCAAAAAGGAGAAATGGTAATATAAACCATTAKATGATAAAATTCCTTAAATATYAATAAAAGTACTATATTTTATAATATAGAAATATTTTTTTCGCTACTGGCTCATTATTTATATTTATTCTGAAAATTTAGATTTTTGTATAGGTGTCTTTTTTCAATATTCAATATAGCTATAAACCTAATAAAAATGGTACTATCCCTAAATACAGGCTAGATAAACACGGTAAAATCTTTATTTTATAGAATAAGAATGAGAGGGAGAAACATAATATAAAACTTTAACCACTATCTAATCAAAACCTACTGTTTTTTTTTTTAATAATCAATCTATGAGAAAAATTCTCAAAAGTAACTTCTTTAGAGGAAAACAACCACCTCATTAACAAAAATAATATTTTTTTAAACAATCATTTAATTAACTATATAAACTACAACTTTGGTAAAAGTTAAAAATACAAATACTGAAATGTTATAATGACTTAATTGGATATGGAATAACATAATTCTCATTGTAACTTTTTATTATAAAAATTATAAATTTATTTAAATATTATTTAAAATAGTAAATACAATCCATAATTAGGAATATAAAATAAATATTGATGTTAGTCAAGATATTTYATTTAATTTAGGGTAGGTTAAGTATGGGTAAATTTTTTTTTAAATAATAAATGTACTTTTTTTCTGACATTATTTTGCATTAATCTGTACGTTTTAATAATCATATAAGATATTAAATGCCATATTCCATCTTAATTTGATTATTTTAAACGATATAGACTCTAATTTAGAATATGTTTTTAATCATAGTATGACAAAATTAAAATACCATTTTGTAAACATAAGATTTACAATATTGTGGGCGTCTWAAGATCTATTCAATGTAAACAATATTACAACCAAACAAAATGTCAGAAAATTTTTTTTTTTTTTTTTTTTTGTAAAAAAAAAAAAGTATTCACAATACGGTTTTTGTGCTAAATGAGAGTAATTTGTCAAACGGAAGTGAGGATTAACAACAACAAAAAATGTTCATTATGATAAATGGGTAAATGTATAGTATTTTTACTATCCAGTAACGTAGAAGCATTGGATATTTGATAAAAATAATTTTAAAAATTTAAAAATACTTCACATGAGCTGGTAGACACCTCGAAGTCTAAAAATTTTGAATTTAATAGATTAGTTTATTCTCACATCCTATTTATTTTTTAAATTATTTACATTTGCAATCTAAAAATGAATAAGTATTGTTTATAAAGTATTTAATAAAACAAATAATTATTTTTAAGGGTCCCATTGGGTTAATAGGAACTAAAGGCAATGATGGTCCGGTTGGAGTCCCAGGTGTYGAAGGCTTGCCAGGTCCCAAAGGTATCGAAGGAGTAGCTGGAAACAAGGTTTGTTAGAGTAAAATGTTTTATTCACTTTCTTAAAATAAAAATGAAAAATTTAGTTTTCAATATATATATATCGAATAAGTAACATSTTAATTCCTATTAAAATTTAAAAACATTCTTCTCTAGTATTTAAGTAAATATAATTACTGTAGTTTTCAGACACTTTATCATTGAACTGTGAACAATATTCAATTTTTATCTCTACAGGGTGAACAAGGACCTCCAGGACCTCCGGGTCCTCCGGGACCACCGGGTGAATTACCACTATTACCACCTGAGTTGGCTGGATTTCAGCAAAACGCTTTGGCCCGATGGAAACGGGAATTCAATGAAATCAATTCCGAAGACAGCGCAAAAACAAAAACGAGTAGTTCAGGACCAAGTGACAATAATGATGGCCCTAAATACATAGACATTGTAAGTTCGATTTACAGTATGAGACAAGATCTGGAACGAATAAGAAAGCCTGTCGGAACCCGTGAAAATCCCGTCATGACGTGCAAAGATTTGTTTTACGGGCATCCACAGTTTAAAGATGGTAATTATAATTATATCCATACGATATACGTTAGTTAATTTACGGTATCTTATCACACGAACTTACACAGCACCGAAATTGTATAAACAGTCATCAAACAATTAAGATTATTAACAGCAGCATATATAGGTACGCTTTTAGACTTTAGTGAATCAGACAAGAATAGTTATAATAACTTATATAATCAAAAGCTATTAATTATTGTTATTAATACACTTAAGTAGTTGACAGAATACCTCCGTAAAAAGTTATAGTCGTGATTAAAACGGTTATTATACCTCCTACGCACAAAACATAATACAATATTAATGGGGTGGTATATTAATTTGTGTCAAATAAAAGTAATAAAACCTATATTTTGTCTACACAGTTTTCATTAAAAAATGATACCAAAATTACTACCGGATTTCAAAAATATTTGTTCAATCCATTATTGAACGTTTAATTTATTGAAAACTTTATCCAAAACTATTTGTTTAGATTCGGTGTATTAAATATATTATACCACGCATGCATCCTAATTGTTTATAATTAATTTACTAAAAACACAATGTACACACTACACACATTATAAACAGTGGTTGTTTTTTTTTTTCGATTAATCGTTTTAATGTAAAATAACTATTATTCATAGCCTAATTCTAATCTTTACCGATAATGTATAAACTAAAATGCGCAACTGCTTTCACTGTTTTAATGTTAAAGCTATAAACCATTTCATTTTTTATTTTTTAGTATTTCGAGTRAATATTCAAAATTATATAGAATTTGGGATAAGGGAAATATGTCCAGTTGAAACTAGTATAAAACTGAAAAATGTTCACCAGTTTCGTAACAAAAATATTAAGATAATTTATGTATTACGTTAGATATGATATTTAGTAAAACATTTCAAACTATTTCGATACCATCTTCCTTCTAGGCCAGTGATCATTATGGTATGGTATCAAAAATATAAATAAACTCATGTTTCTGAAGGTTATTAAAAACAAATTAATTAATGAAAAAAGTAATAAACAATATTTTACTGAGTCATAATTTTGAAATAAATGTATTGACATTTTGAACAGTTCTGTTTTTAGTCATTAGTAATATACGTGATTGATTCGATAAAGATAATCCTAGAACCCCAATCTATTCTGTTATAAATATTTTTGAAACGCATCATTAAATATAGAAAACTGTATTCGAAACAAGATGTGCAAAATATGTCTCAGGTACTCATTAAAAACAAAATTAATTTAAACCTAACTATTTTACATTGGTGAATGTTAAACGGTGACAATAGCACATAAGAGTATTGTCGTACCAGTTATGTACTTTTTAAATAATATAAATTCAAAACTAATTTTGTAACCTAATGGCCTATGTCACCGAGGGTATATTTCGTTTAATAAAAAAAAAAAAATTCAAAACTAAATTTTAATAACTAAACCTTTATGAATTTTTCTATGTTTAATGGTACTAATAATTTATTCTATTGCCGTTGAYTAACGATAAATATATCTTATCGAATTTAAACAAAAATAATAATAATATAATTTCGGAACTAGCTCAATGCATAATGATTAATTTCCCAAGGCTATAATATAATCGTCAGGTACCTAACCACCATCACCAGACGAACCATTTTATACTATAGATAATCATTAATAATAATTTCGGATGAGCGTATTGTATAATAATAATAATAATATATTATGCATTGGAATACTATAAATTGTATCAAATAGATAGTTCCGTCTCTATACAATATTATATTATATTATTATATTGTAATATCGGTTTCTACAACAGTGTTAATAATAATGCGTTCTAGGATGGTACTGGATCGACCCAAACTTGGGTATGCCATACGACGCCGTGTACGTGTATTGTAACATGAGCAGCGGCGGAGAAACGTGCGTATTTCCAGATATACACTCAAGTCAAATGCCAAACATCCCGTGGCGTAAGGAAGGCGACAAGACGGACTGGTATTCAAATCTCAGGGGCGGTTTCAAAGTAAGATGTTATTGAAATATGATAATGATAGTAAACCGTGGTGCGCGTCTGTGTCGAGTGTGGCGTTGGCGTAGATGTCACAGCAGCATGATGGTATTCAAAAATATTGTAAAATAATAATGATAATAAAAAACAACTCGAAACACAAATCGAATTACATTTTAATCGCCATGATTGCCGGGGCTGTGATTTTTTGGGTAAACTTTTTCTACCACGTTCACTCGCCTCCGTTTACCACGCGTCACGGTCGAATGATGCGTCATAAAAAATCGTTTTATGTATACCCCGGTGACAGCATTACCGGAAATCCATCAGGATACATTTGAGGACAGGATCTCATTTAATAGTTATAATATATTTGAACATTCTATAATATAATCTACTCCTCGGCCGTTATATTGTGATGACGACTACTGGAGTTTGGTTACGATATTAGTTATAATTCGACGGAAGAATATTTTCAATAATTCATAAATAATATTATTTATTAATTTACATTGCATGTAACTTAAATATCGTTATTGTAATAATTATTTTGGCATTTATCGTTAACGTGTATGATTTAATTTCATAATACCTATTATTCAATAAATTCTATAGAAAAAATATTTGCTAAAAAATTATTAAATATATATAAATAATAATCAATACAATATTATAACTTATTCACTATAAATGAATAAAATATAAATTATACTTCTTAGTATTTTTATAATTTTAGATCTTTGTATGATTACAATTTTAATCAATTTCTCGTAGATAATCTATACTTAAAAAACAATTTGATTTCCATTTATAATTATTCTGTGTATTTTTTGATGGGGGTTAAAAACATTTTGAGTACCAAAATAAAATAGGACATTAAATGAAATACTGAAAATATAATTTTTACATTCGTGTAAGTACCCACCTATCTATAAAAAATGATATTTATACATATTATTATGGAATTGAAAGGTATATAAATGGTGAAAACTATGCTAACAAAAAACCATTAAAAAATGTTGACAAACATTATGTACGATAAATAAACATTAGTAAATGTAAACATTTATTATTATTTCTACGCAAATATATTTTTAGGCTGCATTTTTTTGACTTGTCTCAAATATAAGGGCTTTAAATAAAGAGGTGAATCAAGAAACGTAGTATAAATACCAGTCTCCCACCTAACATTTATCATCGTTTGACGAGTGTTATACAAGGTATCTTATAAGAAGATTAACGCAACACCATAATGTCATCCTTTTCATTGTAATTTTAGGTCTTAAGTTTTAATACTGTAACATATTGAACACATTCATTACTATAAGCATGTGTACTTATACATATAACATGTACATTTATTATTTTTATAGCTGTAATCAAATTGTTCAAAATGTCTCATTATTGTTTAATGATTTTGTTTTAATTATCTAATTTATATAGACTCTCTCAATGAAACATATTACAAGCGAATATTTTTCTTTAAAACGATAGTGTCTCGTGGGAAATTAAAAATAACTTTTAAAATCAAAAAAATAATTAATATTAATGTTGTGGATTTGAAAAACCCTTGTATACTAATCAAAATGATATTCACTGAAATTATAGTAGATTCAATAAGTTATAATGACCCAGGGGCCACATTCTAAAATYATTTTTTTTAAAGATCCGTGGAATGCATTTATTTTGCTTGCAAATAATTTAAAGAAACAAACTATAATAATTTTTGTTGTATCTTATGATAATTTTTTTTAAATAAACATTGAATTATTTTTATGTCTTAA